GGCACCTTTCAAGTCATCCTGTACGAAGTCAGGGCGAGGAAGGGGTAAGCGGACATGTGGGACCGACGATTTAGTTCACGATAGTCCACGCAGATACGGACACCACCAGTCTTCTTCTTAACGTAGACACAAGGTGAACGCCACGGACTCATACTTGGCCGAATAATCCCTTCTCTCAGCATATCATCAATCTGGCCTCGTATGTCAGCTTGCCACTTATGAGGTACACGTCTCGGACGCTGAGCCATCGGCTGCTCATCGAAGGTCTTTATATCATGAGTGACCAACGGACAAAACCCGATCTTGTTGTTGAACAACTCAGAGAACTCGTTACAGAGATCTTGAATAGGGCAAAGTTCGGGACGGTCAGACACTGGTAACTTGGGTAATACGGTATCCGGTTCCTCAGGACCGGGCAGTAATGGAATCGCATAGTCATCCAAATTACCACCTATGTCATCGTTCTCGAACTCATCATAGATCTCTTGGTCTTCTGCAGGCCATTGTTCGAAACCAGTATGTCCGCCCTTCTTAGGGTCATCATAAAACTCATACGGATCAGGGGGTTGTAGTAGACAGATAGGAGCCCCAGCATCAGCGAAAACCCTACGCTGAGCCAGGGAAGGACTTTCGTCACCATCACCATCACCAAAACCAAGGTGAGAGTAGACATCATCAGAGTACCGACAAAGGGAGTATAGAGAACTAGCTCCATTACCAATCACAACATCAGGCGGACTTTCACAAGTTCTGGCACAACGGGCAAGGTTCTTGGGAACAGTCTCCAAAGAACTTGTGCTAGATGTGGATGGTACCGTCTGAACAGACTCATCAATCATACCAGTAGTCTGGGTAGAAGCATTACGGGTACATACACCCTGTGCTTCACTAGGGCAGATAGTCGGGGGGACGGGTAGTACACCCGCAGAACCAGTTGCTCCAAGTAGAGCGAAGGGCAACGACACACTCACACTCCTTGCATCAGGTTCCGGTAGAGGTTCACGATACCGACCCACCAGAGGGTCACGAGTACCAACCAAACGGACATAACCTTCAACCATCTGTAAGGACAAACCATAATGCCAAAGGAAGTCGAAGCCCAACAACATATCACAAATTAAATCTTCTACCACATAAACCTTAAATTCAAAACTTACACAGTTACTACCGGCCCGCGGCACGAAGTCGGAGTAAACGTTACTACCGTTGCCTACATTAGCGAATCATACATGTTAATCTTACAATGGCAGAGCCCAATAGCAGAATAGATTGCCGGGATCTGCGGAGCC